CTAGAGGCCAGAGCAATGCCATCTAGAGAAACTATGTCATCAGATAAAGAGTCTCTGAGTTGTTTGGGGTATGGCACTATGAGCTCTCTAAGATATGATGGAGCTTGACCATTTAGAGCTTTACAAGTTAACAGTAGGATTTTAAGGCAGTTATGGAGTTTAGTCAATTGATTACTTTCTTCTGGCTTCATCGATAAATACAACTGTGTATCATCCGCATAACAATGGAAATTTATAGAGTGATTTCTAATGATGTTACCTAAAGGAAGCATATATAGAGTAAATAGGATTGGTCCGAGCACAGAACCTTGCGGAACTCCAAAACAAACTTTGGTACGTAAGGATGATTCATTATGAACGTCAACAAACTGAAAACGATCAGATAAATAAGATTTAAACCAGCTTAGTGCAGAACCTTTTAGGCCAATTAAGTGATCCAGTCTCTGCAGTAGAATTTGATGGTCAATTGTGTCAAACGCTGCACTAAGATCTAATAAAACAAGTACAGAGACGAGTCTTTTGTCTGAAGCAATCAGAAGGTCATTTGTAATTTTAACTAGTGCTGTCTCAGTGCTATGATGCACTCTAAATCCTGACTGAAATTCCTCAAATAAATTATTGTCATGAAGTTGATATTGGGCTTTATAAATAAAATTGATTGATTGATTGATTGATTGATTGATTGATTTTTGATCTGATTTAATTATTCTTTACAGCATGGCTTCAGGACCTGTCGGATGTTTGATTTTAAACGTGTCAGTAACTCGTCATCACAAAGTGAAAACATGCTTCAGACATCGTTACGCCCCCACGCCACTGACTAACACTGCTCCTGATGGTCAGAATCCAGGAAGTAAACAAACCATAGAAGAAGAAGAAATGTGACACTTTCTGATGTCACACTGGAGGACCAATTACGCAGGTTGATGTTAGCGCTGCTCATTGAGGCGCCGCTCCAACTAGAAGACAATGTGTTTATGTGTTGGGTGATGAATGTGCAGATTAAGGTCCTGGTCACACAGGAAGTGACTCAGCAGCTCGAGGCGCCATTTTGTTTTAAATCAGAATTAAGCTTTTTGCTCACTGTTGTTGGGACGCACCTTTTGTTTCTGAATTTCTCGAGTTGAAAAACCTTCAACTCAGAGCAGAGAAGCACTCCATGTCATCTCCACTTTTTTCCCCATTGTCCAATGGGATGACTTGAGAGGCGGGGCTTCTGTGATGGTCACGACAACAAGTTTACAGTTGGTAACCAATGGAGGAGAAACTGGTGGTAGTGGTTGCTGGATACCCAGAGCTATACGACTTTACAAAGCACAGTTAGCACCATGTGAATAGAAAACAGCAGATAAGTGCAGTACTGTAAACGTCCATGATGGAGGAGAAGCTCCTGGACCAACTGGTGGTACTCCCCATGATCCAGCCTCTTTTTTAGGGTCTCATGTACCCACACAGATCTCTGTTTATCTGCTGACAGCCTCTCACCCTCAACCACAGCTACAGACAGCACCCTCTGCCTCAACATGGCAGCAGCTACACACTGATTACTGCAGGATACACAAACTGTAGACTGACCACACAGGACGGTTAGGGTGAGGAGGTGATGGGCTGGTTGCCTGGCAACAATAACAAGGTGCAGCAAGTGTTTTTTTACTAGAGGGATTAAATTTTAAAAAAAGGCAGTGCAGCGCTTCCTTTTTTAACCTTTAAAACACTTGCTGTGTGAGTGGAGCCTCAGGCACACATTAATAATCCTCCAGGACTGTAACATGCTCATGTTTAACCCAAATAATGTGTCATGTGACTGCAGTTGGTTAAGATCCAGGTCGGAACACCTTCTCACCACAAACCAACCACACCAGAGTTCGTTTGAACCGGACTGAGACCACCTCTTCAAGAAGGTCTCAGTCTGGTTGTTTCAGCGTGCACAACTCAACCGCACTGAGGCCCCCATCACGCAGAAGGTGCCGCACTGCTGCACCCTATTATTGTTGCTAGGCAACCACCCCATCACCTCCTCACCCTAACCTTCCTGTGTGATCAGTCTCCTGTTTATCTAACAGTAATCAGTGTGTAGTTCATGATGATTCTGCCTCTCTGTCTGCGCCGTGCAGCGTCTGTCTGCCAAACATTGTTCCACATCTGTAACTTTGTTACCACGGCATTTAGCAACATTTCCCCTGCCTCCATGCTGCTTCCCCCCGTTTACTAACCTGTTTCCTGTTGGTGATGTCGAACATGACACAGCAGTAAAACCCAGCAGCCTCTCTGGTGTTGTCGTGGTGATGGTGATGACGTTTGTCGCCTCCTGTGATTATAAATGGTGAACACACTCACGTTGGCGGGATGGTTAGAAACGACACGTGACGCTCGGGAACACATTCGTGTTTATTTAAATCTCACAGAGCAGAAAACACAAACAGACAACTGATGTCAGCGCTCTCATTGGTCCGTCCTAGCCCCGCCCTGGGCAGCAGAACCAGCAGCACAGCCAGTAGGACGGTGGCGGGCAGCAGCTGCCATAGCTGTGAAAGCGTGGCTCAGCCAGACCCCCGTGCGACCAGCTGTCATCAGTCACCTCCTTCCCCAGCCACAGTTTCCCATCTGGGGCGGCGTCCACAGCTGGCGCCCCCTGCCTGCGACCGGAGCTCCAAGAGGACAGGGAGCAGGAGGAGGTGCAGGTCTGCTGGGCCTTCACTCCCAGGAAGGACACCAAGTCCAGGTCCAGACCTGCTGCTCCTCCTCGGGGCCGTGGCGTGTTCTGTCGACACTGGGGACATGGGATCCACACCTGGAGGACAGATGGGGGACAGTCAGTCACATCTCATGTCCCTTGGACTCATGGGAGTTGTACTTGGTCGACAGGAAGTTGGTTATTTATTCTCCCTTTGATTCAAACAAAGACAACTGTGTCAAACGTCCCTGTCCTCACACTGTGTCCTCTGTGATGTCATAGACAGATGGTCGGGATGTTGGAAATGACGTGACTCAAAATACCAGTATTTTACTTTTTATTATTAAAAGACACAATTCTTATATTTTATTCCTCCAGGCGGGTGACAGTCGTCACCAGAGGCATCATGTCCGTCCCTAACCTGTCCGTCCGTCTGTCTCATTCTTGTGAACACAACATCTCTAAAACACATTCAGGGAATTTTCTTCAGATTTGGCACAAATGTTCGCGTGGACTCATGAACTGATCAGAGTTTGGTGAGGAAAGGTCAGAGGTCACTGTGACTTTGATTTTGTCTGAGCTGCGTGTTGACAGGAAGTGACCTCATGGTGAGACGGTGTATCATCTCTAGTCAACAACTCTCTGTGCTTCTGATCTGTAACGTTGACAGGAAGTGACCACCATGAGACGGCGTATCGTCTCTAGTCAACGACTCTCTGTGCTTCTGATCTGTAACGTCGACAGGAAGTGACCACCATGAGATGGCGTATCATCTTTAGTCAACAACTCTCTGTACTTCTGAATAGAATAGAATAGAATAGAACAGAATAGAACAGAATGGAATAGAGTTTTATTGCCATTTGCACAAGTACATCACAGTACAGGTACATTGGAATTCTTTTGCGTTTCTCCAAGCACCAGTTAAAAACGAAAGACACAAAGGTCAATAAAGAAAACACAGTAAATCACATAACAAACAAGTACCAAAAGCAAATAAATAATAGTAATAATACAGTGAATAAATAAAAGGCACATTATGAATATTGCACATTATTGTTGTAAGGGGTTATTGCACAATGTCCTGATGTGATGTATATAGTGTGAAAAAGATTATGAGGTTATGGCGTAGGATAACTTCTCCCCTCCCTCATGTCCTGTGCCACTAGTCTGGTAGTGGCTGGGAAGAAGCTCTTGTGAAAGCGAGCTGTGCGAGCACTGATGCTCCCTGGCCTGCGGTGTCTCAGGTTGTACCCCAAGTCCACCCACTGAAACAGGGCATGTGCTGGGTGGTGTCTGTCCCTCATAATGCTCTGTGCTTTCCTCCAGCACCGCTGTGTGTATATTGTTTCCATAGAAGGGAGACCGGAGCCAATAATCCTCTCTGCAGCTCTGATGACCCGTTGCATGGACTTCCTCTCAGCCAGGGTGGTGTTGCCATACCACACTGTGATGGCGGAGGTGAGGATGCTCTCCACAAGTCCTCTGTATGCTTGGGTGAGGGGCTAGCGTCTAAGTCCGGCTTTCTTTAGCACCCTGATGAAGTGCAGCCTCTGCTGAGCTTTTTTCACTGTGGTTACAGTGTGTTTGGCCCAGCTGAGGCTTTCTGTGATGTGCAGGCCTAAGAACCTGTAGCTGTCAGTTCGCTCCACCACGGTCCCTTGATGGTGAGTGGCTGCAGAGGGGGGGCTCGTCTCCTGAAGTCTATGATGAGTTCTTTTGTTTTGTCGACGTTGAGTACAAGATCGTTGTCCTCCCCCTAGACAGTGATGTTGTGAACCAGGTCTCTGTATGACTCGTCCCCCCGTCTGATGAGGCCAAGGATGGTCGTGTCGTCTGCATACTTAATAATAGTGTTATTGTCCTGGGTGGAGGCACAGTCATGTGTGTAAAGTGCAAAGAGTTTAGGGCTGAGGCAGCAGCCCTGGGGGGTTCCTGTGCTCACTGTGAGCTCTGTAGAGACCTTGTTTCGCATCATCACCACCTGTGGTCTGTCTGTGAGGAAGTCCAGGATCCAGTTGCGGGTGGGTGTTGGTATTCCTAGGTCTGCTAGCTTCACCGTGAGCTTCATCGGCCTGATCGTGTTCAAGGCGGAGATGTTATCCAGTAATAGGAGCCGTGCATATATATTGGCACCTTCCAGATGTTGCAGGATGTTGTGAAGTGCCAGGGCCACTGCGTCCTCTACTGATCTGTTTGAGCAGTAGGCAAACTGAAGAGGGTCCGTTGTGTTTGGAACCACAGAGTTGATGTGTTTTAAGACCAGCTTCTCCAGACACTTCATGACGACAGATGTGAGTGCCACGGGTCTGAAGTCATTCATTATGGAGATGTTCACTTTTTTGGGGACTGGCACAATAACAGAGGATTTAAAGACGCGGGGAACTGTTTCCTGTGAGAGAGAGGAGTTAAAAATGTCTGTGTACACCTCCGCCAGCTGTTCTGCACAGGCCTTCAGGACTCTCTGTGCCACACGGTCAGGTCCAACTGCATTGCGGGGGTTCACCTGCCTCAGAGCCCTGAGCACCTGGGAGTGTGTCACCTGGAGTGGGGTCTCCTCTGGGTTGCAGGGGGCCTTTAGGGGGATGTCTCTGTTGTGCTGGTCGAATCTGGCAACGAAGCTGTTCAGATTGTCAGGTAGGGGGGCGTTCCGGATTACAGTTGTGTCTGCATCCTTCCTGTAGTTGATGACTGCTTTTATTCCTTGCCACATGCTCCTTGTGTTGTTTTCCCTGTAGCAGCTTTCAAGTCTTTGGGTGTATGTTCTCTTGGCAGCCTTGATGGTTCCCTTGAGCTCATATCAAGCCTGCCTGTACTGCCCGATATCTCCTGACTTGAAGGCTGCACACCGGTGCCTGACCTTATTGCATTTATCCGCGTTGAACCAGGGTTTCTGGTTGGGATATACACGGATAGTCCGGGATGGGATGCATATGGAGGTGCACCAGTCAATATAACTGTTCACAGTGTCTGCATGCATGAATATTGTCCGTGGCCTCCTTAAAAATGCTCATGTCTGTAGCATCCAGGCAGCCCTGCAGTTCTGCCAGTGCATCATCCGTCCACATATTTACAGTCCTGACTTTGACTGGGTCTGCTTTGAGCCTCTTGGTGTAGGTGGGCTGTAGCAGGATGACAAGGTGATCACCTTTCTCAAAATGTGGCTTGGAAACAGCAGTATAAGCATTTCTGATGTTGCTGTAACATTTATCGAGGATGTTGTTTCCCCTGGTGCGGAACTTGATAAACTGATGGTATTTGGGGATACTTTTCCGAAGATCACAATGGTTAAAGTCTCCTACAGCAACAATAGCAGGGCAGAGTCATATAGCTGCAGGGCGGACTGGTGGGCGGAGCCATACATCAGCAGGGTGAAGTCTTACAGCAGCAGGGCGGATTCATAGAGTGCCGAAGTCACGCCCCTTCCGGTAGAGCTCATGAAAAGATATGAATGGCAGTGAATGGGGAGAGCAATATTATCTTTTGTTCCCGTTTGAGTTGCGACATGAAATCTAAATATGTTGTTAATGAATTTAATATATAAATTTTAAGGTCAAGAAAGTCATACTTTGTGGTAAAACTGTTGAGATATAAGCTTTTGAAAAAAAAAACGTAATTAGAAAAACTACACAGGAGGCGGTCGCGTATGTGACGTCATAGCTTTCGCTCACTTCCTGCAGCTTGGAGTGACTGCAACCTGGCACAAAACACACAGACATCTTCAATCATAAATCGATTAATCATAAAACAGTGGAATTTCAACAGGGGGGCCAAGCTGCAGGAAGCGAGCGAAAGCTATGACGTCACATACGCGACCTCCTCCTGTGTACTCTTGAGTCTTTCTAATTAAACAGCTTATATCTCAACAGTTTTACCACAAAGTATGACTTTCTTGACCTTAAAATTTATGTTTTAAATTCATTAACGACATATTTGGATTTCATATCACAACTCAAATGGGACCAAAAGATAACATTTCTCTCCTCATTCACTGCCATTCATGTTTTTTCCGATCTAAGGTCCCATGAGTTTCACTGGAATGGGCGTGACTTCAGCACTCTACAGCAGCAAGGCAGTCATACAGCAGCAGGGCGGAGACATATAGCTGTAGGGCAGGCTGGTGGATGGAGCGATACATCAGTAGGGTGAAGTCATACAGCCGCAGGGCGGGGCTTGTAGTTTTTGTTATGTATGTTAAATCTGTGCATCGTGATTTATGTTTTCTTTTCTTCATGTTGACCTCTGTACAGATGTCAGAGCAACTGAGTTTCTATTGTGGACTCTTTGAACTTTGTTTTTGGCCCGACACATGGTTTTACTCCTGGACTGTCTGTTCACTTCGTTAACTGCCAGCACTTCATTAAACTATCAGCATTTCATGAAACTACCAGCACTTCATTAAACTACCAACACTTCATTAAACTATCAGCACTTCGTTTTACTACCAGCACTTCATTAAACTATCGGCACTTTGTTTTACTATCAGCACTTCATTAAACTACCAGCACTTCATTAAACTATCAGCGCTTTGTTTTACTATCAGCACTTCATTAAATTATCAGCACTTCGTTTTACTACCAGCACTTCATTAAACTATCAGCACTTCGTTTTACTACCAGCACTTCATTAAACTACCAGCACTTCATTAAACTATCAGCACTTCGTTTTACTACCAGCACTTCATTAAACTATCAGCACTTCATTCGTTTAACTACCAGCACTTCATTAAACTATCGGCACTTCATTAAACTATCAGCACTTCATTTAACTATCAGCACTTCATTAAACTACCAGCACTTCATTAAACTACCAGCACTTCGTTAAACTATCGGCACTTCTTTTAACTACCAACACTTCATTTAACTATCAGCACTTCATAAAACTATCAGCACTTCATTAAACTACCAGCACTTCATTAAACTATCAGCACTTCATTCGTTTAATTACCAGCACTTTGTTAAACTACCAGCACTTCGTTAAACTATCAGCACTTCATTAAACTATCAGCACTTCGTTAAACTACCAGCACTTCATTAAACTATCAGCACTTCATTAAACTACCAGCACTTCATTAAACTATCAGCACTTCATTCGTTTAATTACCAGCACTTTGTTAAACTACCAGCACTTCATTAAACTATCAGCACTTCATTAAACTATCAGCACTTCGTTAAACTACCAGCACTTCATTAAACTATCAGCACTTCATTAAACTATCAGCACTTCGTTAAACTACCAGCACTTCATTAAACTATCAGCACTTCATTAAACTATCAGCACTTCGTTAAACTACCAGCACTTCATTAAACTATCAGCACTTCATTAAACTATCAGCACTTCGTTAAACTACCAGCACTTCATTAAACTATCAGCACTTCATTAAACTATCAGCACTTCGTTAAACTACCAGCACTTCATTAAACTATCAGCACTTCATTAAACTATCAGCACTTCGTTAAACTACCAGCACTTCATTAAACTATCAGCACTTCATTAAACTATCAGCACTTCGTTAAACTACCAGCACTTCATTAAACTATCAGCACTTCATTAAACTATCAGCACTTCGTTAAACTACCAGCACTTCATTAAACTATCAGCACTTCATTAAACTACCAGCACTTCATTAAACTATCAGCACTTCATTAAACTATCAGCACTTCATTTAACTATCAGCACTTCATTAAACTATCAGCACTTCATTAAACTACCAGCACTTCATTAAACTATCAGCACTTCATTCGTTTAATTACCAGCACTTTGTTAAACTACCAGCACTTCGTTAAACTATCAGCACTTCATTAAACTATCAGCACTTCGTTAAACTACCAGCACTTCATTAAACTATCAGCACTTCATTAAACTATCAGCACTTCGTTAAACTACCAGCACTTCATTAAACTATCAGCACTTCATTAAACTATCAGCACTTCGTTAAACTACCAGCACTTCATTAAACTATCAGCACTTCATTAAACTATCAGCACTTCGTTAAACTACCAGCACTTCATTAAACTATCAGCACTTCATTAAACTATCAGCACTTCGTTAAACTACCAGCACTTCATTAAACTATCAGCACTTCATTAAACTACCAGCACTTCATTAAACTATCAGCACTTCATTAAACTATCAGCACTTCATTTAACTATCAGCACTTCATTAAACTATCAGCACTTCATTAAACTACCAGCACTTCATTAAACTATCAGCACTTCATTCGTTTAATTACCAGCACTTTGTTAAACTACCAGCACTTCGTTAAACTATCAGCACTTCATTAAACTATCAGCACTTCGTTAAACTACCAGCACTTCATTAAACTATCAGCACTTCATTAAACTACCAGCACTTCATTTAACTATCAGCACTTCATTAAACTATCAGCACTTCATTAAACTACCAGCACTTCATTAAACTATCAGCACTTCATTCGTTTAATTACCAGCACTTTGTTAAACTACCAGCACTTCGTTAAACTATCAGCACTTCATTAAACTATCAGCACTTCGTTAAACTACCAGCACTTCATTAAACTATCAGCACTTCATTAAACTACCAGCACTTCATTAAACTATCAGCACTTCATTAAACTATCAGCACTTCATTTAACTATCAGCACTTCATTAAACTATCAGCACTTCATTAAACTACCAGCACTTCATTAAACTATCAGCACTTCATTAAACTACCAGCACTTCGTTAAACTATCGGCACTTCTTTTAACTACCAACACTTCATTTAACTATCAGCACTTCATAAAACTATCAGCACTTCATTAAACTACCAGCACTTCATTAAACTATCAGCACTTCATTCGTTTAATTACCAGCACTTTGTTAAACTACCAGCACTTCGTTAAACTATCAGCACTTCATTAAACTATCAGCACTTCGTTAAACTACCAGCACTTCATTAAACTATCAGCACTTCATTAAACTACCAGCACTTCGTTAAACTACCAGCACTTCATTAAACTATCAGCACTTCATTCGTTTAACTACCAGCACTTCATTAAACTATCAGCACTTCATTAAACTACCAGCACTTCATTCGTTTAACTACCAGCACTTTGTTAAACTACCAGCACTGCGTTAAACTATCAGCACTTCGTTTAACTACCAGCACTTCATTAAACTATCAGCACTTCATTAAACTACCAGCACTTCATTAAACTATCAGCACTTCATTTGTTTAACTACCAGCACTTCATTAAACTACCAGCACTTCATTTGTTTAACTACCAGCACTTCATTTAACTACCAGCACTTCATTAAACTACCAGCACTTCATTAAACTATCAGCACTTCATTAAACATCAGCACTTCATTCATTTAACTACCAGTACTTCATTAAACTATCAGCACTTCATTTGTTTAACTACCAGCACTTCATTAAACATCAGCACTTCATTCATTTAACTACCAGTACTTCATTAAACTATCAGCACTTCATTCGTTTAACTACCAGCACTTCATTAAACTACCAGCACTTAGTTTAAACTACCAGCACTTCATTAAACTACCAGCACTTTGTTAAACTACCAGCACTTCGCTAAAGCAGCGAGGGCTTCTGAATCTTCCACAGGACGGTGTGACAGTATGAATCCTTCACCCTCCTGCTTTATCACTGATGACTGATGACTCTTTAAGTTAAACTGAGAAAATTCGATCTGCTGTTTCACTTCCCGTCTATGATCCGTCTGTGGTTCCTCCTTGTCCTTCAGTCTTCAGTTTGTTCCTCAGTCAAATAAAAGACATCGGGCTCTCATTTCCCTGCACTGCGCAGGGTGGCGCAGGGTGGCGAACCCCGCGCAGAGCTAGTTTTGAGCAGGGCATATGGATTGTCCCGTCACATCTGATGTCAGATCAGAGGGGATTGGCACCGTTTGGCACATTTGGCACGTGTAATGGAAACCCAACTTGTTTTGATTAACACAGCTGCAAACTTCGCGCAGCGCATTTAAGGGCGAGGAGAGGGGCTCATTTGATTGGTGTGATGTGTGTAAAACCCACTCCACACCTTCTCTCCTCCCTCTTTCTGACTTGCACAGGTAGGAGCGACAGAGGTGGGAAAGACGAGTAGCTGCGCCAGTGCGCACGGTGTGCCAAACTTGCAAAATCCGCCTGGCCACACCCAGTTGGCGAAGCGCAGGTGCGCTGCGCCTCCGCCTTGCCCAGTCTGCGAAACTAGAGCCCATAGTCTCACATACTGAACGGTCTACCTGTCTCCAGGACGGCCGTCCCACATGCCTGTCCCCAGGAAGTGTTTGGTACTATAGGTCCTAATGTGTCACTCATCCTAACAGTATCAAGCTAACGGTTTGGTTCTGCGGCCGTACATCCTGTCATTAAAAAGCCAAAACCTTGATGTAACCATCAACCATCTCAAGCGCCAGGTTGGTATCCAGGGTTGCAGCTACCTTACATAAATCTTTCTTTGTCAAATCTGGACATGTTTCCATCCTCTGCTCCCACCACCTGTGGTGTACCTCAAGACTCCACCCTGGGACCCCTCCTGTTGGTCTTCACTTGCTCCCTTCAGGCTTCATCCTCCATTGATACGATATCTCCTGCTGTTGTTATGACAATAATACTCAGCTTTACCTCCTGTTAGAACCAGGTGGCAAGAGCAATGACACAGTCAGGTCTGTCCTCCACTGCCTCCATCATGTGAAATATTGGAGGCAATAAACTGTCTCCTGCTAAATGACAGTAAGACAGAAGCGGTCTTATTTGGTACAGCAAACGACCTAGGGCCCTTGGCACCTAACCTTCATGTCCAGATGTCCTCTTTGATTCAGCTTTAAGTTTGACAAACAAATGAACTCTGTAGTGAGAGGTTGATTTTTCTAGCTTAGAGACTGACATTGATCCTCTGAGTTCAGGACCTGAACACTGTCATGAGTGTGTTCAGATCACTGTGATGTTCTGCATGTGGGTATAAACCAGTCCTCCTGATCTCACCTGCAGCTGGTACAGAACGCCACTGCTCAACCTCATCACACCTGTTCTGGTGTCCCTGTGCTGGTTACCAGTCAGGTATTGTTCTCTCTGAGTTAAAAGCCTGACAGGTCCTGGTACCCAAACACATCACTGAGCTCCTGTCACAGGTGACACCAAAGGGCAGAGTGAAACCCTTCACACAACAACAAACATGGTGGCGGTGGCAGAGGTCATAATATTCTACCATTAAACTGGACTTAATCTTTCGTTATATGTGCTAACAGTAGGGGGAGGGACTAATGAGCTTTTGTCGGGGGGTGGTCAGGTAATCCTCTGCACTGATTCCAGGTGAGTGTTGATGATGTCATCAGTCACCTGTTCATTAATGACCGTGTCCAGTCTCTTCAGACATGCCTGGCAGAAGGCGTGGCCACAGTGCAGTCGCCGCGGCAACCGCGTCACCAGGTCATAACTGCCGAAGCACACAATGCACACCAGGTCCTGCCTCCGCAGTGACATCATCGTCTCTACGGCAACAGCGGGAGGAGGAGGGGGTAGGGGCTGACAGGTCACCTCCTCTTCTTCTTCTTCTTCTTCTACTTCTTCTACTTTTCTGCCATCATCCATTTTGTTCTGAGAAAAAAAGATTCATCAGAGGAACATTTAAGACCTCAATTCAACGGGGACCAAACTCAATTCAACAGGGACCAAACTGGGACCAGACTGAAACCAGACTGGGACCAGGCTGAAACCAGACTGAGACCAGATTGAGACCAGACTGACACCAGGCTGACACCAGACTGAGACCAGACTGACACCAGACTGGCACCAGACTGAGAAAAGACTAGGACCAGACTGAGACCAGACTGACACCAGACTGGCACCAGACTGAGAAAAGACTAGGACCAGACTGAGACCAGACTGACACCAGACTGGCACCAGACTGAGAAAAGACTAGGACCAGACTGAGACCAGACTGACACCAGACTGGCACCAGACTGAGAAAAGACTAGGACCAGACTGAGACCAGACTGACACCAGACTGACACCAGACTGAGAAAAGACTAGGACCAGACTGAGACCAGACTGACACCAGACTGGCACCAGACTGAGAAAAGACTAGGACCAGACTGACACCAGACTGAGACCAGACTGACACCAGACTGGCACCAGACTGAGAAAAGACTAGGACCAGACTGAGACCAGACTGACACCAGACTGGCACCAGGCTGAGAAAAGACTAGGACCAGACTGAGACCAGACTGACACCAGACTGAGACCAGACTGAGGCCAGGCTGACACCAGACTGACACCAGGCTGAGAAAAGACTAGGACCAGACTGAGACCAGGCGGCTAACACTAGACTGACACCAGACTGAGACCAGACTCAGACCAGACCGAGACCAGGCTAACACCAGACTGAGACCAGACTGACACCAGACTGAGACCAGACTGAGACCAGACTGACACCAGACTGAGAGTAGACTGAGACCAGACTGGGACCAGACTGAGACCAGACTCAGACCAGACTGGGACCAGGCTAACACCAGACTGAGACCTGACTAACACCAGGCTGAGACCAGACTGAGACCAGACAGGGACCAGACTGGGACCAGACTCAGACCTGACTCAGACCAGACTGAGACCTGACTCAGACCAGACTGGGACCAGGCTAACACCAGACTGGTGCCAGGCTAACACCAGACTGAGACCAGACTGACACCAGGCTGAGACCAAACTGAGACTAGACTGAGACCAGGCTAACACCATACTGAGACCAGACTGACACCAGACTGAGAGTAGACTGAGACCAGACTGGAACCAGACTGAGACCTGACTCAGACCAGACTGGGACCAGGCTAACACCAGACTGAGACCAGACTGACACCAGGCTGAGACCAGACAGGGACCAGACTGAGACCAGACTGAGACCTGACTGGGACCAGACTGAGACCAGACTGAGACCTGACTCAGACCAGACTGGGGACAGGCTAACACCAGACTGAGACCAGACTGACACCAGGCTGAGACCAAACTGAGACTAGACTGAGACCAGACTGGGACCAGACTGAGACCTGACTCAGACCAGACTGGGACCAGGCTAACACCAGACTGAGACCCGACTGACACCAGGCTGAGACCAGACTGAGACCAGACAGGGACCAGACTGGGACCAGACTCAGACCAGACTCAGACCTGACTCAGACCAGACTGGGACCAGGCTAACACCAGACTGAGACCAGACTGACACCAGGCTGAGACCAAACTGAGACTAGACTGAGACCAGACTGGGACCAGACTGAGACCTGACTCAGACCAGACTGGGACCAGGCTAACACCAGACTGACACCAGACTGAGACCAGGCTGAGACCAGACTGGGACCAGACTGAGACCTGACTCAGACCAGACTGGGACCAGGCTAACACCAGACTGAGACCAGACTGACACCAGGCTGAGACCAGACTGAGACCTGACTGGGACCAGACTGGGACCAGACTCAGACCAGACTCAGACCAGACTGAGACCTGACTCAGACCAGACTGGGACCAGGCTAACACCAGGCTGAGACCAGACTGGGACCAGACTGGGACCAGACTGAGACCTGACTCAGACCAGACTGGGACCAGGCTGAGACCAGACTGAGACCAGACTGACACCAGGCTGAGACCAGACTGAGACCAGACTGGGACCAGACTGAGACCAGACTGACACCAGACTGAGACCCGACTGGGACCAGGCTAACACCAGACTGAGACCAGACTGACACCAGGCTGAGACCAGACTGAGACCAGACTGAGACCAGACTGGGACCAGACTGAGACCTGACTCAGACCAGACTGGGACCAGGCTAACACCAGACTGAGACCAGACTGACACCAGGCTGAGACCAGACTGAGACCAGACTGGGACCAGACTGAGACCAGACTGACACCAGACTGAGACCCGACTGGGACCAGGCTAACACCAGACTGAGACCAGACTGACACCAGGCTGAGACCAGACTGAGACTAGACTGAGACCAGACTGGGACCAGACTGAGACCTGACTCAGACCAGACTGGGACCAGGCTAACACCAGACTGAGACCAGACTGAGACCAGGCTGAGACCAGACTGAGACCAGACTGAGACCAGACTGAGACCAGACTGAGACCAGACTGGGACCAGACTGAGACCAGACTGAGACCAGACTGGGACCAGGCTAACACCAGACTGAGACCAGACTGACACCAGGCTGAGACCAGACTGAGACCAGACTGAGACCAGACTGGGACCAGACTGAGACCTGACTCAGACCAGACTGGGACCAGGCTAACACCAGACTGAGACCAGACTGACACCAGGCTGAGACCAGACTGAGACCTGACTGGGACCAGACTGGGACCAGACTCAGACCAGACTCAGACCAGACTGAGACCTGACTCAGACCAGACTGGGACCAGGCTAACACCAGACTGAGACCAGACTGAGACCAGGCTGAGACCAGACTGAGACCAGACTGAGACCAGACTGAGACCAGACTGAGACCAGACTGGGACCAGACTGAGACCAGACTGAGACCAGACTGAGACCAGACTGGGACCAGGCTAACACCAGACTGAGACCAGACTGACACCAGGCTGAGACCAGACTGAGACCAGACTGACACCAGGCTGAGACCAGACTGAGACCAGACTGACACCAGGCTGAGACCAGGCTGAGACCAGACTGAGACCAGACTGACACCAGACTGAGACCAGACTGACACCAGACTGACACCAGACTGACACTCGACTGGGACCAGGCTAACACCAGACTGACACCAGACTGAGACCCGACTGGGACCAGGCTAAAACCAGACTGACACCAGACTGACACCAGACTGACACCGGGCTGACACCGGGCTGACCCCAGACTGTGACCAGACTGTTAAAGGAAACAAGAACTGACCTGGACTTCTCCTGTCTCTTCACATCATTTCCTCCTCGTTTGTTGTTATTGTTGTTGTTTACACCTTCTCCCCTGTTGTCTATTTTTGTTTCATTTCCTCCTGTCTGTCTCTTCTTCTTTTCCTTAAGTTTGTCTTTTCTCCTTCTGTTGTTTTCTCTGTTTGTTGTTTATTCTCTCCTTTTCTGTTCTTCTTTCGTCTATTCTTCTGTGGTTGTCCTGTGTCTCCTTCCTTCTTCTTCTCTGTTTGCTGCTCGTCGTCCTCACAGGGAGACGGACACTGTGACATCATCAATAATTCAGCCTCACTGAACCGACAGCACGGGCACACACACACGCACGTGCACAAGCGCGCGCACACACACACACACTGTGTGTTCGAAATGTTGCTCTAAACTTTTGAACCAACTACGACTTGACAGAGTTGATCAATCAATACCTGATCAATAACTGAACAATACCTGATCAATAACTGATCAATAACAACATGTGTCACAATTTCAGTACTCTGACCTGTAACTTGATCGGCCAATAGAAAGTGGAGCTGCTCTCATGTTTCTATTGGCTGCTGGTGTCGGCCTATCAGGTTACAGCTCAGTGTGGACTGACTGAGGTCACCTAGCAACAGACATACACACACACACACACACACACACTTTTGATCACTGATTGGATCATTGATCATTGGTCTGTGTGTAGTCGTCATTAGAGCCCTGGGTTCTGTCTGTCAGGCTGTTGTCGGGAGGCCCTATCGTCCAGACCGACCCACCGTGACATCACACCAACACCACCAATCAGCTCCTGGTAGGAAATTTGTGACATCATCAATGTGATGATTTCTGTCGTCGTTTTCAGACGTGACGTATAAAGTTTATTTTTATTAACATCTGGAGGGAAAGTCTTCACATCACGTATGTTAAATCAAACAGCGTTGTCACTTCCTGTTTGATTTTAACCTCCAAAAAAATAAAAATAAATCCATATCAGCCTGAGAGTTCCTAATATTTAGAACATTATCACGGCTTTACCTCACAGGGAACCTCCATCAGCCGCCCCCATCAGCCACCCCCATCAGCCACCTCCATCAGCCGCCCCCATCAGCCACCTCCATCAGCCACCTCCATCATCCACCTCCATCATCCACCTCCATCAGCCGCCCCCATCAGCCACCTCCATCAGCCACCTCCATCAGCCGCCCCCATCAGCCACCTCCATCAGCCGCCCCCATCAGCCACCTCCATCAGCTACCTCCATCAGCCGCCCCCATCAGCCACCTCCATCATTTTCAGTATTTTCAGTTAAGGCGTCGCAGGACTGGAATACAGTACCAGTACACATCAGAGAACTAAGTTCATACCATTTGTTCACAAAACAGTTGAAATCATGGCTCATCAACAATCAAACCTCTACACATTAATACTCAGCTGCTGCCTCTGTCTGCTCTTTAACAACTGGCTGCCTGCCATATTCTTTTGCTTATGTGTGTCTTGCTGTTGTTTGTCTCAGTCTATGTTTGTTTCTTGTGAATTAGGCTGTTTTGTAATTATTTGTAGAGTCTTGGCTTGCTCTGCTTTTATGTTTGTGTTGCTATGTTTACCTGTTACTATATTTTTATCTTATATCTTAAACTGCATGCAATGATATTGTTTTAAACTTCGAACTTTTTTATTACTTAGGCTGCCAACTCAGATCTGGCCAGGGACTGTGGATGAAAACTAGCCTTTTGGCTAATTCTGGTATATTTACAGTTCACTGTTCATTAATATGCATTGTCCCTGATAAATAAACAAATAAATAAAATCAGCTGCCCCATCAGCTGCCCACATCCCCCACCTCCATCTACTGCCTCCATCAGCTACCTCCATCAGCTGCCCCATCAGCTGCCCACATCCCCCACCTCCATCTACTGCCTCCATCAGCCACCTCCATCAGCTGCCCCATCAGCTGCCCACATCCCCCACCTCCATCTACTGCCTCCATCAGCCACCTCCATCAGCTGCCCCATCAGCTGCCCACATCCCCCACCTCCATCTACTGCCTCCATCAGCCACCTCCATCAGCTGCCCACATCCCCCACCTCCATCTACTGCCTCCATCAGCCACCTCCATCAGCTGCCCCATCAGCTGCCCACATCCCCCACCTCCATCTACTGCCTCCATCAGCCACCTCCATCAGCTGCCCCATCAGCTGCCCACATCCCCCACCTCCATCTACTGCCTCCATCAGCTACCTCCATCAGCTGCCCCATCAGCTGCCCACATCCCCCACCTCCATCTACTGCCTCCATCAGCCACCTCCATCAGCTGCCCACATCCCCCACCTCCATCTACTGCCTCCATCAGCCACCTCCATCAGCTGCCCCATCAGCTGCCCACATCCCCCACCTCCATCTACTGCCTCCATCAGCCACCTCCATCAGCTGCCCCATCAGCTGCCCACATCCCCCACCTCCATCTACTGCCTCCATCAGCTGCCTCATCAGCTGCCCACATTCCCCACCTCCATCTACTGCCTCCATCAGCTACCTCCATGTACTGCCTCCACCAGCCACCTCCATCAGCCGCCTCCATCAGCCACCTCCATCAGCTGTCCCATCAGCTGCCCACATCCCCCACCTCCATGTACTGCCTCCATCAGCCACCTCCACGTACTGCCTCCACCAGCCACCTCCATCAGCCGCCTCCATCTACCGCCTCCATCAGCCACCTCCATCTACCGCCTCCATCAGCCACCTCCATCATCTATCTCCATGTACTGCCTCCATCAGCCACCTCCATCAGCCGCCTCCATCAGTTAAAGAAGTGTAAGTATCCTAATTATATTGTATGCTTCACCACAGTTTGATTGTTTTTTTGTTTTTAGGTGAAAAAGATTAAAATGACGTGAACGACATGAAACGTCACTCTTTAATAATCTTCGTCTTTATTTCATCAACAAATGTTTTACACTTCCATATTTTCTGATTTTATTCGACATCGTTAAGATTTCATTTAGAACTCCTTCATACTCAACCCTTCAGAATAAAATACTTCCTGAAAATCAGAACAACTTTCTGTGAAGACGGAGAAACTGGATCAAATATAAAACACGTATTAAACACAGAAACATGTCCGTCAGGTTCCTTTGATCATATTCAGACATGACGTCACCGCCTGTCAATTAATCACAGATCAATCACATCTGTTCACATTCCTGTAATGTGTGATGTCACAAACCTCATCACAGCCTCTTGGCATTTTGTGTCATTGTCATGACAACAGTAAAAGAGAAAGAAAAGTAAAAAACAAACATCACAGTTCAGCAGCGACAATTTTAATGTTTATAAACATTTATTAATATTCATATTTGTACTGTTGGTCATCACATGATACGACTGATGAAAACAACCCATAATAATGATAATAATCATCATCATCATTATTATAATTATTATTGTACTTCTAATACTCCTACTACTAATAATAATAATATTATTAATATATAATGACGAAAGTAATGACAATAATAATAAACATAGTGTTATTGCATCTTTTTTCAGTGTTTTTTATAATTTTTTGCAAAAACATGTAAAAAATAACAAAAAATACTTTGCATTTTATTTCTAGTAAATTTTTCTTTGATCCAATCATCAGCTCCTCCATGTTCCTCTTGTTGTTGTTGTTGGCACAAAATGGCCACCCTGAGGAAAGAGCTTCTTCAACTTTATTTCCATTCATGTATTTCTTCTTCTTCACTTCCTTTTCTGCTTCCTTGTGTCCTTCCTTGTTTCCTCAGTGAAAGGAAGGAAACATCAACGTGAGGTAACAGGAAGTAAAAGAAGCCAATCACAATGCTCCTGGCGCGGTGACATCACTTCCTCCTCCTGCAGCGGTAGCAGCAGGCCGCACACCTCCCCTGCCCCTCCTCCATCTCTCCTCCAGCCTCCTTCACCACGTACGGGGGGGGGGCGGAGCTCGACACGCCGTACGGGTTCCCGTTGTCACTGCTCAGAGCTCCTGGATTGGCTATCACCATGCCGCCATCATTGGAGGTGTGGAGCTTCGCCCGAGGGATGGTCACCTGACCATACGGGTTGTCAGGGGAGACGTTGATGTTTGATGACATGGCGATGCGTCACAGGAGGGTGGAGCTAAAGATGATCAATTAACCAATCAAATGGCTGTCCAATCATAGACGAGCTCTGAGGAGAAGAGACAGAGAACTAAGTGTGAGGTCAGTGTTGTCACAAACTACTGGACCAATCAGATGCAGACTTTCTGTGAACATGACTCCGCCCCCTCTGCCTCATTCAGAAAAATTCGGTTTCATTTTAAACGTGTCCTGATCGTCTGACCTCAGACACCATAAAAACATGTTGTTAACATCATAACCTACACCACACCTTACATCACACCCTACATCACACCCTACATTAGGCTTGTGCCGATTTCCGGTTTAACCGGTTCGGTCCTGTTTAAGAGCTCCACCTGGTTTAATTCACGTCAACCGGATAAACCAGAGGAAAAAAAAAGCTTTTCATAGCGGCGGCATGTCAAGGGACTATATTCAACTTATCTTGCATTGTAACATGCATTATGACAACTTAATAAGGTTTATGTTTGTTTATAAATGAAGTGGAGGAGCCTACAAGTGTTTTGTTTAGTTTGTCTCAGAGGCTGCAGAGGGACTCTGTCTGCTGCTGCTACGAGAGATCAAATTTCATTGGGGGCAGGGAAAAGTACGAGGGAGTCAGCAGTCATTCAGTTTGTTGCCCTAACCAAAGATACTGGATTACTACTGTACTATACAGTATATACTATACTGTACTATTACTACTATTATTACTGGTTTATCCACCGTCTTTGCCCTAACGTCTTGGGCCCAATTCCAATCCGGCCCCTAAAGACTCAAGCCCTGAACCCTCACTGACTTAACTGACGTCAGCTGTAAGTGATTGAGTGTGAGAGTCTGAAAGGGCTCTGGATGCTACAAATAGGAATGGGACAGCACTTATCCCCCTCTCTACAAAATGTTGTCGACACTGGCGACTCTGGGCGTGATCATTTATCGGTTATTGTCAGCATATATTCCACACACAAAGAATATATAT